AAAAAAAAAAAAAAAAAAAAAAAAAAAAAAAGAAATTCTTACATTTACAGTCAATTAATTTTTGGCAAAGGTGCCAAGATAATTCAAAGGGGGAAAGGATAGTCTTTTCAACAAATGGTGCTAGGACAATTGGAAATCCACATGCCAAAGAAAAGAACTTAGACTCACACCGTACATTAAAATTAAAGCAGGCTGGCAGGTTAGCTCAGTTGGTTAGAGTGTGGTGTTATAACACCAAAGTCAAGGGTTCGGATCCTGTACCATCCAGCTGCCAAGAAAAAAAAAATTAAAGCAAAATGGATCATAGACCTAATGGCCAGAGCTAAAACCATAAAATTGTTAGGTGAAAACATTGGAGGAAATCTTCATGGGCTGGGCAAAGAGTTCTGAGATATGACACCAAAAGCATGATGCAAAAAATTGATAAATTGGACTTGATCAAAATTTAAAAATTTTGTGCTTTAAGAGAGAACATTCAAGAGTATGGTGTTATAATAAACTCAAGGATTTGGATCCCCGTACTGGCCAGCCACACACACACGCACGCACGCACGCACGCACGCACACACACTCCGTACTGGCCAGCCATATACACACACACACACGCACGCACCCTGTACTGGTCAGCCACACACACACACACACACGCACACACGCACACACACACATACTCCGTACTGGCCAGCCATACACACACACACGCACGCACACACACACACTCCGTACTGGCCAGCCATACACAAACACACACGCACGCACACACACACTCCGTACTGGCCAGCCATACACACGCACACACACACACTCCGTACTGGCCAGCCATACACATACACACACACACACACACATGCACCCCATACTGGCCAGCCATACACACACACACAAAGAGAACATCCATAAAATGAAAAGAGAAGCCACGGACCAGGAGAAAATTTTGCAAATTATATATCAGATTAAAAAACCACTTGTACGCAGAATATATAGAGAACACTTACAACTCATTAATAATAAGAAAACCCAATTTGATTTCACCAAAGAAGATACATGAATGGCTAATAGACACATGAAAAGATGCTCAACATTCTTAGTCATTAGCTAAATGTAAATTAAAACCATCACGAGATACCACTACACACCCACTAGAATTACTGTAATACAAAAGGTAGAAAATAAGAAGTGTTGGTGAAGATTTGAGAAACTAGAACCCTTAAATATTGCTGGTGGGACTGTAAAATGGTACATCCACTTTGGAAGAGAATTTGGCAGTTTCTCAAAATGTAAACCATAAACTTACCATATGACTCAGCCCTTCTAGGAATTTACCCACATTGTAAATTTGAATGTCCACATTTCAATGTCCATGGCAGTGCAGGAGCAGAAAGGGGGTGATCACTTTCTTCTCCATCATACAGTTGACACCCCTGTAACAAAAGACAGGTTAATAACAGAAAAACATAACAAATTTATTAATGTGCACGAGAGCCATACAAAACAACCAGAGGTCAGAGAGAGACCTGGAGGCTGCTTATTTAGTCCAGCATGTCAAAGTGCCTTATTTTGGAGTATCATTTTCTGAGCCCCAACAGCAGCATTATTTATAATAGCCAAAAGCTAGAAACAGTTGACATGCCATCATCAGATGAATGGATAAACAAAAGTGGTCTGTCCATACAATGGAATACTGCTAGTCAGCAATAAAAAAAAAATAACCTGATACACGCTACAACATGGATGAACCTCAAAATGCAAAGGAAGCCAGACACAAAAGACTACATGTTTTATGATTCCATGTACATGAAATCGAGGCAGGACAGAAGAGGGACTTGCCCCAGGGAGGCTGCTTTAGCCAACACCTGCTAGCAGCAGCTAAATCACGCTATTGATCAACCGCCCTCCTTCAGAACCCTGTGGTTTTCTTTTTTTTTTTTTCCTTTTTGTCTCTTTTCGTGACCGGCAACGGATCGCAACCCTCAGTGTCGCGCCCGTACCTGACCAGGACCGGCAACGGGATCGCAACCCTCGGTGTTGCGCCCGCACCTCGCTCAGCCAGTGAGCGGGAACCGGTCTGTATGTGGGATCCGAACCCTCGGCGGGAGCGCCGCCGCGCTGCGCCACCGGGCCGGCCCAGAACCCTGTGGTTTTCTGAGCAGAAAACAAAACCACAAGCACCCAAAATCCCTTTTCCTAGAATAGAGTTTACACTTGCAAGAACACCTAAAGCCTCCTTTTTCTCCCCCTTTTTCTTGAATATTCCTGCCCTTAGTTAAGATAGAGAAACACCCCCATCCCAGAACAACATATAAACTTTTCCCTAAGAGTTCACAGGGCGCTCCTCTCTAGCAAGGATGTCCCTCCTTCTGCGTGTACTTTCACTTTGCAATGAACTTTGAGTGTAAGTGAATCTGCCATGTGAGCTTGAAGTTATTGTGGGTTCCTGATGAGATTCTTCCCTTGGGAAATCCAAGGACCTGCATCTCTGACATCAATTTGTCCAGAAAAGTCACACTTATAGGGACAAAAAGCAGATTAGTAGTCACCTAGGAGTGGGAACAGGGATTAACTCAAAAGGGTATAAGGAAACTATTTGGAGTGATGAAAATATTCTAAAAATGGATTGTGGTAATGGTTGCACAACTCTAAGTTTTCTAAGGAATCACTGAATTACACACATACAATGAGTGAATGGTATATCAGTTTTTCAAAAGGAGATAGTTTAGCTACTTCTTTGCAGATATTGTTAGATATTTTAGATGCTTTCGTGACTGCCTCTGATAGATTGTTCCACACAAGGACTTATCTGTCCTTTTTGTTAGAATGATTATGGGAAATGGAGTTCAGGACAGCAAGAGACGATCTATTGTGCAGAACACAGTGGGGAGTGGGTGAACACGTTTTCTGTATTGATGGAACTCATGCCAGGCCATTAAGTATTTATCTATGAATACAAATATGGCTTGTTTTCAAGATATTGGGTCTCTCCAGCCTCTGCTTGTAGCTCTAGGCTTGTTTTCCTCTCTTTGGCCATTTTAAACCCGGGCCTGTAAACATGCATCAATTCCTAATCCAAACCAAGAGTAACTTGGGGAAAGTGTGAGCCTCAGCTCCGACTGGTCGTTGTACTGATATTGGTCATGAAGGATAGGAAGGCATTGCTTACGTTTCAGTGTGAGCACCACACATGCGCAGGCTAGGCTTAGCAGGGCTTGGGTTTTGACTAGGTAAGCTATGAGGAATGTACCCACTTACTTTGGCATGGTATTTCATCCTTTCTAAAGCACATATTTTACCCCCAAATGCAAGGAGCAAGTCTTATTCCTGTTATTGCTTGAAAACTGATTTGGAGAGGTTAATTATATGCCCATATCAAGACTGAGTCAGCCAAACTGCATTGAGGACTCAGGCCAGCTTGGTCAAGTTCAGATTTGGGTTGTATCTTCTCCCTGGAGGTCTGTGTTGGTCAGGCCCTAGGGCCATTTCTGTTGCCTGTGCTTTTGAATGAAAATAATTCTCCTCCTGCAGCGCTACTTGGTAGAATAAAACATGACATTTATATAACCTGACTTTTAGAGCCCTTCCAAGTACATTCTTACTTGAGCCTCCCAAGAACTCAGCGCAAGAATCAGGAGATGGATTAGTATCCTTATGTGAAGCCTCAGGGACAGAGCTCAGAGCGATGGGGACTTGCCTCAGAGGGGCAGGTAGGTGGCACAGCCAGCTCCAGAGCAGGGTTCTTTGCACTGTGCTTGGCCTGGTTGCCTCTCAACAGAGCCTTTGCCTAGGTGCTCTAAATTGTCAGATTGACTAGATTTTAGACGTTGAATTCAGCATACGATACATTTTTTTTATGATCCTGTCCAAGCAGATTTAGTGACTGAAGCACATTGGAGAAGCTTGTCGAAGCATCACATTATCAAGGTGTGGGGAGTATGAGGGTCCTTCAAAAGTTCATGGAAAGCTTCATATTCTCTTTCTCCCTCTTTTTTTTTTTTGGCAGCTTGCCAGTATGGTATATTATCTTTTAATTCTATTTTTCCACAAATTTTTTGAAGTGCCCTGATATATCACTATATACCCCCTTTGTTGAAGGTCGTGTAGAGTTAGGGGTTGATGTTACCAAATGTGGAGAGTGGGTAAGGATGGTTTTGAAAGGCCTCAGGAAGGAGTAAATTGTTTACACTTCCCAGTGCTCTTGAAATTAAAGCGAGGGGCTGAGATGTTATATAGGGGAAGTAGGCCTGCAGGTCCTGGTGTTTGCTGATTCAGTCTTGTCTGTCTCTGTCTCTGAAATTATGCTCTTCTGTGCAGATTTTTTACTGCTTGTCTCTCTATGTTATTGGAACCTGCAAGGTATCCATGGTAAAGCCAATTTACACCCAGTCGAGCCTGTGCATATTAACACTTATGCTTGAAAATGGGAAAAATGACAAAGCCTGCTGAAGAAAGGTCTCAGCGCACTCTTTGACGTGTCGCTGGGAGTGAAGAGATGAAAAATGACCTTGGGGTGCTGCAGAGTGAATCTCATTTCATGCAAGAAAAATGAGATTAAAAATATTTCAAGGCAATAAAGTACCTTCAAGTGCCTGTGCTGGGTGAATAAAGCAGCAGTCACAGGTCCTGGGCGGGGGAAGCGGTAGGATGGAGCAGGGGCTGTGCAGGGGGACACAAGTACTGGGTCATTCATAGCTGCCTAAGAAGGGGGAGGTGGGAGTTGCAGAGTCAGTATGTCTTCTGGGGAGAGATATGCCTCTGGGAGTCGCTGGGCACCTGTGCCATCCCTGACACTGTGGTTTGCAGTCTTTTTTATTGTGCAAGAGCAGTGGAACTTCTTATTTCCCTCTTCTGTGGCCAAGAACCTTGCTCTTTGACATACCTGTTGTGGATGGAATGGCCCCCATTGTGACAGTGCTCAGAGGGTGGGAAATCTGATTATGGTGTTTGAAAGGTGGGGCCTTTAAGAGGTGATTAGATTGTGAGGACTGTACCTGATTGATGCATTCATGGAGTAATGGGTGTGGTTCTGATGGCTTTATAGGGAGAGTGAGTGAGAAGGTAGCTCTTGCTCTGGCCATTCTCACCATGGGATATCCTGGGAAGCTGTAGAGAGCCACCACCCAGAAGAAGGCCCTCACCAGATGTGCCCCCTGGACCATGAACTTCCCAGCCTCCAAAACTGTAAGAAATAAAGTTCGTTTCTTTATAAATTACCCAATTTCAGATATTCTGTGATTAGCAACAGAAACAAACTAATACAATATCCCTCTCTAGAATTCTACAGCAGGTTTCTCAGCCTGTCACCTTTGACATTTAGGGCTGGATCATTCTTTGTGGTTGGGTAGAGGGGCTGGGCAAGGTTGTCCTGTGCATTGCAGGGTGTTGAACAGCATCTCTGGCCTCTACCACTCAATGCCAGGAGCACCTCCTCATGCAGTTACGACAACCCAAAATGTTTCCAGGTATTGTTAAATGTCTCCTGGGGAGCAAAATCATCTCCCCCTCCCATTGAGAACCACTGTTTTAGGAGGTGGCAAAAATTAGCTGAGTCTGAATACTTCTGAGGCATGTTGGCATTGAAAAGGGGCTGGAATAGTTCAGAATGGTTCAAATTTATCTCTTTGAGTAAAATTATCTCCATATAACTTAGCACTTAATGGCTTGGTGGATATAGCAGACAGAATAATAAGTGCCCAAAGAAGTCCGTGTTTTAATACCCAGAACCTGTGAATATGTTCCTTACATGGCAAAGGGGATTCTGTAGCTGTGATTAAGGTAAGAACCTTGAGATGGGAGTGGGGGTTATCCTGGGCTATCTGAGTGAGCCCAGTGTAATCACAAGTGTCCTTATAAGAGGCAGGCAGGAGGGTCAGAGTCGGAGAAGGAGATGTGATGTCAGAAGCAGAGATGAGAGAGAGAGAAAGAGAGAGATTGGAAGACGTTACACTGCTGGCTTTGAAGATGCAGGAAGGGGCCACAGACCATGATATGTAGGCTGCCTCTAGAAGCTGGAAAATTCAGGGAGACAGAGTCTCCCCTCAGAGTCTCCAGAAGGAACCCAGCCCTGCTGACACCTTGATGTCAGCCCCGTGAGATTCATGGTGGACTTCTGACCTCCAGAGCTGTAAGGCAATGAACTTAATTTGTTTCAAGCCACTAAGTTCGGGTCATTTGCTACAGCAGCCACAGGAAACCCACATAGTGGCACTCTGCTTTTCCTCAGCTAGACTGAAGGCTTCTGAGCGTGGGGCCACGGCCGGCCTGTGCTTTCGCATCACCCCTCACAGTGCTGTGCTGCTGATTGGCTAGAGTGACTTTCTCCTGACATAGGCAGTGTTTTCTGTAAACTTTGAGATCAGGGCAATTCCTCCTCTTTTCTGGAGAGGCCCATCTAATCCTGATGGGCCTGGTGTTCCCTGGTAGCCTCTCCCCCTTCTGCAGATACAGTCACCTGTACCCTGGGAGTCCCTCTTCCTCCTCTCTCCTCCAAGGCTCCCTGGCTATGCATATCCCTTAGCCACTGTCTCTCTTGGAGCCCACCTGGACCTTTCTTCTTGAGACAGGGCACTCTGGGGGTCTGTCATATGGCTTGTGCTGTGTACATTTGGAAGTCCTTTTCTCATTTACCATGGGAACTGGGTTGGCAAAAACTTACTGTTCATAAATTCATTAGTTTTCACTTTTAAGACTTTATTTTTTAGAGCAGTTTTAGGTTCACAACAAAATTGAGCAGAAAGTACAGAGTTCCCATGTGCCCTCGTTCCTCCTTCCCCACCCCCAGCCTCCGCTACGATCAACATCCCCCTCCATAGAGTGGTACATTTGTTTCAATCCACGAACCTAGATTGACACCATAATCACCCAGAGTCCTTCGTTTACCTTAGGGTTCACTCTTGGTGTTGTACATTCTATGGGTTTTGACAAATGTGTAATGACATGTACCCACCATTATAGTGTCATACAGAGTGGTTTCACTGAAGTTTTGCTTTTACATGTATAGTTTGTTTTGTTTTGTTTTTGGTGGCTGGCCAGTTTTGGGGGATCTGAACCCTTAACCTTGGTGTTATTAGCTGACGTTTTAGTTTTAATGCAGATTATAGACCACAAGAAATACTTCGCATGTCGGGATTGGCTCACTCAGTAGGTATCCAGTGTGATTTCTATGCAGCTGTGCCCAGCACTTATAACTTTGGCCAGTTACCCATTAAATGTATACTGTTTGTTATAAGTAGGAGCAGGAGAGGGAGTGTGACCAGCTCAGTGTAAAATGATCCCAACTGCATGAAAAAACGTTTAAGGCATGCTCACTAATTGGGATAAATTCTACAAATACTGGACATTACTGGGGAGGAATATAACCAGGAGCAAAAGCCACAGAGCTGTGCCTCCCCAGAACATCCAGTCTAACATGGCATCACACAGAGAGCTCTAGCGAATGTTGGATACAAACACAGTCTGCACACCCAGAATAAGCCAGGATTTGCCTGGATAATTCAACAGAACTTTCTTATAAAAGGATAGAACTGCATTTGCAGGTCCTAGCAAAGTCCTGCATCAAAAAAGGCTGGACAAAGCTCCAGGATACTAGATCCTGGGCAGGTTTTCTCTCTTGAGGTTTCTTCCTTCCTCCTGAGATTGCTGCTTGCCCTTGTGGGAGGAGGAGGAGGGATGAGAATAGAGAAGCCAGGATTCCGGTCTCAGCTGGGCATTTGCAGGCAGGTCATAGATTCTAGGACTGGATTTCCTCATCTGAAAGGGAGGGTTTGGACATGATAGCTTCAAGATTTCTATTGGTCAAGAAACACTCTGGCTCTTATCCAGGTGGAGACCCTGCCAGAACCAGGCTCACCACCATTTACTTCCATGTGCCTGGTCACCAAACACCATCGACCTTTAGGTAGTAGCTTCAGATTGATTCTGAATGCCTGTGCAATAATGTTAGACATAGCCCCCTCTAGCCCTCTAACCCTGCATTGCTTGCAAAACAAACAAATTCATTCCAGGTGGAACAGGTCTCTTTCCTGCCATGGAGTGTGTAGGAATTACTGTGCTGTTTTAGAGTCTTGCATGAAAGAAACCTCATGTCCTTTTGTGCCCTGCAGAGGGCGATCTGGTCTTGCAATCGGTTTTTCCATGTTTGGAGGTAGTTGCAAGGAAGTCGGCCGCTTTTTGGGCGGCTAACCTGCAAGACCATGAAAGAGGAATTCAACCGGCATAGTAAATTAAAATGCAATTTAAACTTCAACTCATGTTGGGCATAACTTTGCGCACAAAAAAAAAAAAGAATTATCTCCCCTACTCCCTCCAGCCCCTTAGAAGATGAATATCAACTATCTAGGAAATCTGAAATTTTTATTCAGTTGGTTTTTAGACCCTGAAGAATTTGAATTTTTAGACAACTGTGGGTTAGACTACTATGGCTGGCTTTGGCCACAGCAAATGGTCACACTTTCCTAAAGAAAAAAAAAATTCTACCAATTAGTAAATATCTTCTGAAAATTTAGATTCTCACCACATCTTAACTTATTATCTATAAAATGAAAAGTTACAATGCCTTTAAGCAAAGCCTAATAATTTCCATAAATCATTACCTTAGATAATAGCTTGTCAAATAGGCTATCCATTATCGCTACAAGCTTAGCAGATATTTCAGCTATGTGGTCATGGTAGTCCTGTAATGAGAAACGATATTGTATTTTATAGTCCTCAGGAAACATCTAAAAAATACCTAACAATTAAGCAACTAAATTTATGAAACTCCAATAGAAAATATATGAAAAATTACCTTAGTGATATGATCAAAATGCTTAAGCATGCTATATTGCTTAGATGGTAGTCGAGCTTCAAAATGAGCCCGGATCACAGGAATGTAGTGCACAATTAACTGCAAACAACGTGAAGAAAGAGCTGAAGATCCAGGAAACAGGTATATAATGGAAAAACAGAAAAAGATATTAGTTGATTTTAATTACATATCAAATAAAGAATGTCAATTAATTTTATACAGATCCCAGTTTATTTTATAAATTAAGAGCACCTTGGCAGAAGACAACATACTTCATTTTGCTTAGGAAAATAAGGTGGTACTGAATAATGTCATGAACATGATGCTTTCCTAATGGACTCAAGTTGTGAGCATTACCAGTAGGAGGACGCTACTAAGACAATTGATTCTCTTCTGACATTCAGATATCTTTCACCCTAATGCAGTTCACACACATTAATTACATTTAAACATTTTCTAGAGTGCTACAACTTCCAAATAACTAATGCTTCTTATAGTGGAAATCCCTCATTTTTCCCCAGAGGTTACTTTTTCAATTATGATGATACATAAAAGAGTGAGGTAGCATTTACCACTTTTAGATCCTTTGGTTAGAGTCATGAAAACATGAGGTCTAATAAAAACACAATAAATACAGTGACATCATTGTAACACCTCAGCATGTGAATTAAATGCAAGAATCCATACCCAAATTTTTTGTGGTTATCGTTTTTAGTCCAACAACTTGCAGCGCCCCAGCTCCAAGAACCAACTGGCAACTTCTTGAATTGAAGTACTAACAAAGGAAGGAGGAAAAAAACCCAACTATTTATTAAAGCTGTTCTTTACATGTCGGCAGTGTGTTAACTGTTCTAAAAATACATTCTTTTTTCCTCTCATTCAAGAACCAAGTGAATTTTCTAGTGGAATCAACTATCTATATGTAATAACAAATAAAAGGGAGGGAGATTCTAAATGATATTTACTGTCTGGTAAGAAAAAAGTTGAGAAATTCTAAAAACCGGTTTTCAGAAATTAAATCTTTTATCCGCATTCACAAAACTAGTTCTGTTTCAGTCATTCTTATTGGAAAGTCCCATTTTCAAAAGAGTAACAAAAATCTTCCCCAATTAAAACATACCAATTCAATTTCAGGACAGAAATAACTGATAGATTAGAGGTCTGAAAAAAATAAAGCCTTTCCTCTCTACTAGCAAGTAAAAATATGTTAATATGAAAAGAGTAACAAAAATCTTCCCCAATTAAAACATACCAATTCAATTTCAGGACAGAAATAATTGATAGATTAGAGGTCTGAAAAAAATAAAGCCTTTCCTCTCTACTAGCAAGTAAAAATATGTTAATATAAAATGGCTGAATAAAATTATCATCACATTTTCACTGTACATCAATGGTCTGAAAGAATGATGTAAGAAAAATCTCTAACCTTAGTGAGATGAATTTTGTAAAGTTCAGTGAATTCCTTCCATGCACATTTGAAACCAGTCCAGGTTTTTTGACCTAAGTGGCCTCAGTCATGTTCGGCACCTAACGAACAAATCATCTCCTGTCTCCAATGTCATTAACAACTCTATTGGTGTAATGAGGAATCACTAAATGTGGAGTGAGAAGGAAGCAGGTAGCCTTTTTGCAGTAATATGTTGTGATTCAACCACAATCAAATGTCACAAAACTAAAGTCTTAAAGATAAATTTGACCTTAGAGTTGAAAGACTAGTCACACCCTAATGAATTAAATCTTCCAACTATTTTTCCTTAATGGGGTGAAGTCATACATACCTTCAATAAATCTGACAGACGAGTAAGCATGTCAGTAGTAACAGATGGGATGTTATCCACACACTGGCAATATTCAAGGATAATTCTTATTAACAGTAATACGGTTCTATAAGAAAAAAAAGATGACCCAATAGGCAATCAAAACAAGAAAAATCAAAATGATTCAATATATAAAAATCAAATTACCAGTACAATGGATCTCTGAGGATATACTGATATTGGTAACTTAAAATTATGTTTTACCTATAAGTGCAGCAGGTTCTGGACTAATGTGAGGCAAGAGAGAAGTCTAAGGTGCGAAATTTAAGGAAGGACTTACTCTTAGAGTTGTGCAATTGCAGTATCAGCACTTGCACAACACTGATGAGTGGCTCCTAAAATTTTGCACTATAGGTATAGCACTGTCTTTATGGCATTCTTATTAAGAAAGTCTTTTCAGTAAGGCAGATATTCCATTCCTTGCCAATTCAGAAACACTGACAAAGAGCCTACCCAGTGTTTCTGGTTACCTATGTAGTAGATTCTCAATCACAATAATTGAATTCATGAAGGGAAACTAGTCCAGATTGTCTTGGCAAGATGAAAAAGAAGCTATAATAGCTTCTAAGGACAACATATCTCTTAAGTTTTTTGGCTGATAACATCAAGGTCCAGGGTTCAATCCCTGTATTAGCTAGCTGCCAAACAAACAAACAAACAAACAAAAAACAAAAACCACCAAGAAGTTTATTGGTAGATCACAAAAGGTCCTCCAAAAATGATAAAGTTATCAGCTTAATAGAAGGACATGTCACAAGTTGAAAAGACATACCACTGGAAGGTTAAATAAGACTGAAAATAAGAGGGAAAGAGTAATTCGTTGTAGAACATCTAAACTCAGTGAGATGCTCAGAAATGAGAGATCTATGTAAAATAATGGTTTATAAAAATCTGAAAGATATCAGGAACAGCAATTCAAGAAGGATAGTGTCTGGCCTTTATAACAGCTTATCAGACAATATATTTATTCTCTACGCATACTCCCAGAGTCTGCTTTACTGGGCATGAGTCCATTGCTTGTATTTTGTAATCTCTCAGAAGATACCCTTTAGCCAGGTAGTTCTGATCTTTGGCAAGTAGCCTCTTTGCCTAAACAGCTAGAAAGCCAGATAAGCCAGAGGGGACCATTTCCATCAAGTACATGAAGAGCAACCAGATAAAGGGTAGTTAAAGAGGGAAATCATAATTAGATTAAAGAGATGAGATTATAGGGAGGTTGAAAAAAGCTATGCCCTACCAGAAACAGGGAAGGACTCCAGAGAATAAAGGAACAAAGATTTAAGTTTAGAACATGTGTAATTCAGACTTGAACACACATTGAGAAAAAGAATCAATTCTATACACATTTTTTGAGTGCTTATAGTGGTACCCAAAAAAACTAAAATGGTAAGACATGATCCCCACCTTTGAGGAATTCAGAGTCTAACCAGGGAGACATATACAACATATACATAAATAAATAATTCTATTATAGTATGGTAAGTGCCATGACAGAGGCACATAGAGTTACATTCTTCCTGGAGTGGGTGGCTTTTTCACAAAAGACTTAGTGACATGAATCAAAGAAGAAAAGTGAAAAGGAATGCTGGTCTAGATATTGGGAGTTAGACCTAGATTCTAATTCTGCCTCCATTTGGGTCACTTTATGTTATCTCCTTAACCTTCTAAATTTCAATTCTCCTAACTGTAGAAAGAAAACAATAATCCCTGATGTGTCTATTTCATAAAGTGGTTGTAAAGATCAAATGAGATCATATATATGAAAATACTTATATTACGAAGTACTGTTAAAGTTTTTTTTTAAAAAAAGAAGATATCATTTTAATTACCAAGTTATTAAAAGACGTGTAGTACCAGACAAACAATGCCGGACTTTGTGTTTCTTAGTTAACTTGAATTTGAGGTACATTTATTGGTAAAAGAGTAAAGACCTAATGACTCAAATGATAAACATGAAAATAACTTCCAACAACTATCAACTTCTTATTAGGTGCTAGAACCTAATAAAATTCTTTACATGTATTACCTGTTTAATTTTCCCAATAATTCTATGTATAGCACTATTTCCCACATTTCGTGGTCTTCAGAGCCCACAATTCAAACTGCTATGTTATACTATACACTGAGAAAACTATAGAAAAAAAGACAGAGCCTGGGATGGTATAATAACATAATGAAGCCACTACATCACCCTTGGACTATCTAGATTTCTTGTTATCTGAGAAAAATCAAGTCCTCTTTGTTAAGCCAATACAGTCCCTAATGGATAAAGCATGCACTAGAATATAGAAAATGAAAAGGAATCCATAAATTTTCCTTTACATTCTTTGTAGGATTTAAAATTGTTAATCCAAAATTTCCAATTCACTTTAATGGGGAACTAGAAGACTTAATGTTTTAAATAATTGACTCAACTAATAAAGAAAAATGTGTCACTCACCCAACAACAGCATACTGTTGTCCCTCAACAATGAGAACTTCAGCTGGTTTCCTTTCTTCTGTAGCTAGAGAGTAAAGCAAACAAACAAGAGAGACAAGGGTACAAGATGAAACAAAACACTGGAGAAAAAGCTGAAGAAGATAGTTGCTATTTAGGGCCTGGAACTATCTCATTTCTGAAAATAAGTACCTACTTCTTGGAAAGCAATTTGGCACAGAGTAAATAATGTATATGGGGTTTGGAGTTAGAGAGATTTGGCTTTGAGTCCCAATATGCCAATTACTGGATGCATGACCTTGGGCCAATTACTTAACTTCTTTGAGTCTCAATATGTATTATCTATTAAATGCAGATAACAATAACTGTCTTTCAGGGTTGTTGTTAATGGTAGAGATAATGATTGCAAATCACCTATCCCCTAGGCCTGACACATGGTAGATGATCAGTAAGTAGTCTAAAAAAAAAAAAAAGTTATTATTAGTTTGGAAAGGCAGAACTAGCATTTCAACTGGCTATATTTTTATTATTTTTAGAATACAAGTTAATTAGAGAGATTATATATTTAATTCTCAAAATTTAAGCCCAGAAGTTACTTTATTTTCAGCATGTGCTATTTCTTATCATTATAAAACAAAATTCGTCATGTTGACATGAAAAGAATAGTAGACTGGATTACTGTCCAGGACCAGGCAAATTAATTAAATTACCGTGGGCAAGTCATTATGCTTCCCTAAGCTTTAAGTCCCTTAGAACTCTAAGACATGAAATGTCTACTTCCTCTTTTCTTTCAAGCAAAGAAGTCCAGTGTGATATATATTTTAATCGCAAGTCACTATGTAAGTCAGACTATGAATTTTTTGAGGGCAAGGCCTGTGTCTTAACCAATTTTCTATATTGCAAAGAAGCAGCATAGCATGGTAGATAAGAGAAAGGCCCTAAGTCAATCTGCCTGTGTTTGAATCCCAGCTCTACCTCTAACTAGGTATGTAACGTTAAGCAAGTTGCTTTTAACCTCTTTGCGCCTCAGTTTCCATATCTGTCAAATGATAATAGTGACAGTATCTAGCTCATGGACCTGTAGATGAGATTCTAGAGTACTAAGAACAAACTGTGTAGCACTAAGCAAGCACTAAAAGAAATGTATGATGGATGAATGAATAATAACCCAGGATCCTTAACTTGATAAAAACTAGTAACGTTAATGGACTTCTAACAGCATACACCTATGCTATCCAAAAAGGGGGGAAAAAAAAGACTGAGGCAAAAACAAGTATGTAAGAAAAACCTCCTACCATTGGACCATTAGTATCCTCAAAGAGAGAGTGAAAATATGCGATCACTTTGCAGGAAAAAGCACATGGTTAATTCAATCACTCTACATTTATAATTTTAATTCAAAAATCATTTGTTTGTATAACAGTGGAATAGACAGAGAACATGTCCTAGTCATCCAGCATAGCATCTCACATAGTGGGAAGTCAATCAAATATAGCTTGAAAGAGTAGTTGAGTGATTAAGTCTTACCAGGAGTCTTCAAAAAGTTCATGGAAAGATTCATATTATCTTTAAATTCCATTTTGACAAACTTTTTGAAGTACCCTCATATAACTTTAAACTAGTGATTTAGAATGGTCAGTGTTTTATTTTTCCTTCAGCTTTTGCTACTTGAATGCTTTTGTTTGGCTAATATCATATAATCAATTAAAAAATTGTAACTACCACTCAACATTATTCCCTACTAAAAATGGTCACTATATAACAGAAATTTACTTAATTCCTTCAATTCCTCCCTCTGCCCCATATGAACAAATCTGTTTTATACCTGTCCTTAACCCCTTCCCTCTTGTCATAGTGGTAGAAGAGGTAGCCTTTTCCTAGATGTGAGGTAGTAAATAACAAGCTGACAGAGTCCTTGTTATTTTGGAATTATGCCAGCAAGGCTGGCTTCCCATTTGCCTGTCTCCCCCTTCTCCCTCTCCTTGAGATCTGACCTTTGAATGAACCCGGAATCCTGAGAACTTTTGTAAAGGAGGAATTTATCTCTTATTTTGCTGATAAGTAGTTAGCCATGAACCTTCAAGCGCCATGGCAACAGAAAGTGTTCTATAAACAGCTTTGTACCAGACATAACTGGCTTAATCAGTATAATATGTTATATTTACTGGCTTATAAAAAGAACCTAAAATAAACTAAGGTGCTTCATAGGTCAGCAGCTTGGGAAGCCCTCCTGATCCCATAAACGTGATTCCTCATTAATACTTTACCATCTCCCCTTGGGTACTGGTCCTCAACACCTAGAACTCTAGATTCAATTCCAGGTGCCTTCCCCTGTAAGTCCCCCTCTCTCATTCTTATTCTAAATCAATCTTCTTCCTCTTTCTGTTAAGCATAAACATATAATTCAACTTCTCCTACTTAAAAAAAAATTCCTCCTGACTCCCTGAGTGGATTAAGGTAATAATCTCTCTAATTTCTCATATCTCTCTAGCTATCACTTCATCACTCACTTTTCCTTCACAGCTAAACTTGTTGAAAAAAAGCTGTCTACCCTTCCTCACCTTTCTAGTTACTTAGCACCAAACTGCAATCTGACTCCACTGAATTACTCCACTGGGATTGCAGTTATCTCCTACATGTCAAACTAATGGTTACTATCTGTATTTTACTTTGTCTTTCTCTTGCAGTGTAGTCGCATTTTGTGCAAATGTGAAGTACACAATTTAAAAATACTTCTATGTAGAGATTTAAACTTTCATTAAATGCACAAAATTTGAAATAGTGCAACTGCCTCCTCCATTAAAAATATTCAAGAACTTCATAATTTCAAATCTGGTATTACAGGAGGTGTTGTAAATCAATTTATATTATCATCACATGACAACTCAGCTTTAACTTGTTTACAAAAATAACTCCCAGCCATTTCATCCCTTTCGTATGAGAACCAACCTGTATTTCATACCAATGCCAATTCTCTCATTGAAACTCTAATTTTTTACTTCTGTGTCCTTCCAGACTTTTTCCTACCTCCCTGTCCCTTCCTTCATCATTTTCTTTCTCTACATTTCCTTACATTTTGGTTTTCTCTATTATATAACTGCATTACCTGTGATTTCTTATATATTTTTTTGTTTTGTTCATTAGACTTAGTTTTTTAAAGTAGGAATAACTGTTATCTCTCTCTCAATATGTGACTCAAAGTAGAAGCTTAACTGGTGTTCACTGAATGAATACATCTCTAAACAATATGGTACAGTAGTATGTGACTCAAAGTAGAAGCTTAACTGGTGTTCACTGAATGAATACATCTCTAAACAATATGAAATTAGCTAAGAATATAGCTATGAAATTATATAAAGCTGGTTTCAAATCCCAGCTCATCATTTGTACAAAATTTCTTAAGCCCTCCAAGCCTCAAGCCTCCTCACTGTTAAACAAGGCAATAATAGTACCTTCATAGTAGGCTGCCGTGAGGATAAAGTGGAGTAATACATGCAAAGCACATGGTCCAGTGTCTGGCATATGGTTAACACTCAATAAAGATCTGGAATTATTATTATGAATTACCATAGATACTTTTCCTGCCAATTATTTACTAACTAAGCTGGGAGTACTCATTCTAGGCTTTTCAATAGACATTGTCATCTAAAGAAATATTAAGCATCCATACAAAATAAATAAACAATAAAAAATTGGAAGAGACTGTGTGAAAGAATGCACATACCCCCTGATTTTTTTTCAGGTAAAGCAATCTTTCCATCTGATATAGAATCAACAAGATCCTGAAATTCTGCAGGAACATCAGCTTGCTTCCAGCGCTCATTGTCTAAGAGAAGGCTATTGAAAAGTAAAAAGAAAGGAAGGTAAACTTTAATCATTTTTCAACACCATCTTCCCTGGTTGAAAAGAAAAGAGGAGCTGAGTAAGTATATAAGATTGTAGAAGTGCTGAACACCTTAATAAATTGGAATCATTCATAAACAGGACCAATAGTTTCAGAAAATACTTCCCTTTTTATATATCTTAGCATAACCAAGAAGAGCAAAGAAACATAATTTACTTAAGTTTGAGTGGGAAAGAAAAGTCAACCTATTGAGAATCTTCCTGATAAGTACTTGAATAGAAGTAAACATTCTAACTCCACTTGAAAAGCCAAGAAATGTGATTTTAATTCCATAATTTATCTTCGATTTAAACATTCTAACTCCACTTGAAAAGCCAAGAAATGTGATTTTAATTCCATAATTTATCTTCAATTAAAAAAAAATGTATCAGGGGGCCGGCCCAGTGGCGCACTGGATAGTGCGCCGCTTGGGAAGCGCGGCGGCGCTCCCGCCCGAGGGTTCGGATCCCACATACAGACCGGTTCCCGCTCACTGGCTGAGCGAGGCGCGGGAGCAGCGCCAAGGGTTGCAATCCCGTTGCCGGTCCCCGGTCCGGTACGGGGGCGACACTGAGGGTTGCGATCCGTTGCGGGACAGGGAAAAAACCAAAAGACAAAAAAAAAAAAAATGTATCAGGGATTTGGCTGCCCAGTCAATTGAGTTTCTTCTTTTAAATATAATTATGTTTTGTAAAGAAAAAGAAAAAAACCCTGAAGAACAGAATGGACATGGTGATGGTACCTGAGCTTGGTTTTTCTCTCTTCATGAAATCTATTTACAAATTTATTAGCTTGGCTCTGAAGTGCTCCAAGTAATGACATGCTTTTTCTTCCACAGATCTGTTCAGTGTCTAAAATGAATGTTTCCATTAATCTGGAAAGTGTTATGAATTCCATGGAATTTAACTTTTCAAGAAAACCATCCTAAATTTTAAAGATAACAGAAAAATCATGACAGAGAGTTAGCATAACACCAAATATGGATAAATTATGAAACCAACTTAGTTTAACAAATGTCAACATTATATTATTTTTACAATATATAATTATACTAATAACATTATTTTTATCATTTTAAATGATAAAACATCAGACTCAGAAATTGAACATAAAAACCTTAATATGTCTAAATTTGATTCTTTATAACTAATATAATAGCTCAAATGAGTTCAGGTCATATTATAAAATTTTCACAATATTGGAGTTTAATTTTACTAATAACTTGTTTGACTATATATATCCATATATATGTAAATGTCCATATACATATATTAAAAAGCATATTAATTTCAAATTATTAAGTTATTTTTCAAAATAAGTCCTTTTAATCATTTATTTGAAAAAAATGTTTTAATAATTTTTCCCACGTCTTTTATTTAAATTATTTTACATCTCTGTAATAGATCACACCAGTAGTACCATTAACTTTATTAAGTGTTAAAAATATAATATGCATTATGTGGAACACGGGGACAAAAGTAAAGACATAATTCCAGATCTCTAAAATAACTATACTATGTATAAAACATAAAATATATAAAGCTTTATCAAAATAACTACCTTTGCTCTTGACATGAGAAATTTGACAGCTCGATCATGGCATATAT